ATTACTATCTAGTTTTATATCAAGCAAAAAAAAATTTAATGTATTTTATATAATATGTAAAAATTTGGCCAAAAATGGGACAAGTCATATGTTTTAGCCTTCTGCTATTAGCTAATTTTAAAATTAATTTAAAATTAATTTTAAAATATTTTTTAAAAGCCAATCAAAATGCAAGAATTCACAAAAACATCAAATTTCAATATAAAATTTTTGAAAATGGTACAAATTTCATGATTTCCGCCTTTAGGTGTCCTGCACTATACCAACAACCAACATTATTTCATCGATTCAAATTGTATCTGAATTTTTGATTTTTTTTGCATATTTCAGGTGCTATTTTTTTTTTTTAGTGCATTATTTTTTTCTACTTCAACTTCATTATCACAACAATCAAAACCAATTTATCTATTAAATATTTTCTAAAACCTTTTCATCACCAATTTCACTTTCATAATGATACTTAACACTATATGTTCCTTTAGATTACTCATATCAGCAAATTTGTGAAAATAAGTGGACTTTCAAGCTTCATTCTTCTCAATGTCAATATTACTTTAATAACAGGATCTGAGTTCGTATTGTCTACTGAAATTACCTTTCAAATGCTTTATATTAATACTTATCATTACCAATCTCTTAATGATTACAATTGTTAGTATTATACGTTATTTTAGCATTTTCTTTATCAGGAGCTTTTTGATAATGAATAAATGCTTCATATTCATTCTTTTTAATGCAACTTCATCAAATTTTAGTTTACTTGACATCACTTATGCTACTGGACTAAGTTACACTAGTCAAAAGCTGGCAAATCTGGTACAAATCAGATATGTATTATTTGAAACTAATAACTATCCGATTGTTGCCAATTTTAAAATTTGGCAGCCCAATTGGTGCCAATTTATGGTGCAAATTGATATACAATCAGATATTAACTAGATATAAATCAGGTATCAATTAGTAAATAAAAAAAATATATGTACATATGTATTAGTGTTCTGCAAAACCAGATCCAAGTGGATCTAAATAGATCTGGCAGTTTTTATGAGCATAAAAGTAGCATTTTACAAAAAGTAAAACTAAAACTGTATATATAATTAATATAGAAAACACTCTACTAGCAACAGTTCTATTTGCTCTCACATATAGTAGTCATTTGAGTACCTTTTGTAAAATGCTACTTTTATGCCCATTGAAAATGCTAAATCCATTTAGATCTACTTGGATTTAGTTTTGCAGAACACTAGTATGTATTAGATTACCTATTAATTATTTGAATTAAATGTTTTTTATATTTGCATACTATATTAGTAATAAAAAATTAATTTCTATTTAATAAATTTTTTTTATTAATATTAAATAATCATATAATCAATTTAGCTCATCTCTAGGTATATATATATGAATTCTAGGTTTTTGCTTTGCATAGCACTTATATTAGTACCTTTTACACCTATTAGTACTCTAATATCTTGCAATAATTTTATTAAATAATACATATTAATTACAAAACTTAAAAATAAAAATTTATTAAATAAAAAGCATTGCAGATATTATTGTAGTACTAGATATTTAGCTTTATTAAGTGATCTTTATTAAAAATAAGTAGTAAATATCAACACAATTGAAGCATAAATTATATAATCCAAAAATAACAATTATAATTGTGCTAGATATCTTTATTAGCTGAATAGCATTAGCTAGCACCAAATATTATCATCATCAGTTAAGTTCTGTATTTAATAAGAAGTTTAAGCTACTACAAAATAGTAGGATTTATATAAATTCTATACAAACTTCCATAAAAAAGAAGATTTGGATATAAATCTTACTTCTAGCAGAGATGGCTGCTAGTTTGCCTAACAAATGTGCCTTTTTATACTTGCTTTTGATAATAAAAACATTGTTAGTATTCTGTTGTGATTCTAAATTAAAAAGCTGATTAATTCTACTTATCTGACTTCATTTGCACTCTTCTATGGAGTTAGCCTAAAGTGATGGTGTTTCTGATTAGGATTAATAGCTGTTTCTGTCTATTCAAATTTCTTTGGCAGAAACAGTCTACTGGCACAGTATCTATATAATTTAGCTTTTTTATTGGCATAGCAATTGATATTTCATTTTTTAGATCTACTCAATTTCTTGAAGCACAATAACTAAAATAATGATGATCATGTCAACTTTTGCTATACTGATAAGAGAGATAAATTATGTGGATGCCAAATTGGTAATTAATATGACTTTACAATCTGGTCACCAGTACTAATAACGATATTCCAATTGCAACCAAATAGCAACTACATTTTCTACTATAGTTGTTAGACAAAACCTTTTTTGCATGATTATACCTTCAAAATCTAAAATTCTTCTGACAAAAGATGTAACCTTATGCTCAAAAAGATGAAACCCAGGTGTTCTTACTAAAAAAAAAAAAAATTGATTATTATCATCATTAAATTACAGACTCAGGACATGTTCTTTTCATTACTATCTATAAGTAAAATTTTCAAAAAAATATATGAATTTACTATGTAACTTTGAGCTAAGATCTTCTTAAATCTAACTTATTAACTTTAATTTAAATTTTTGGGGAATATAGAACAAGAGGAAAAGAAAAAATTAAGCTTAAAAATTAAATTAAAATTTTTCTAATTTTGTACAAACCGAAAATTTAACTTTTCCAAAATCAAGTATTTTAAAATAATGAATATATGTAAAAATATGCTATGAACAACTTTACTTAGAAGTTAGAAGTAGGTTGCTTGTAAGAAAAATAAGTTATCTATATATTAAAGTTAAAAATTTTAGTTTTTCTATATGCAACTTTTTTTTTTACTTATATAACCTGCTTTTATCTTCTAAGTAAAGTTGTTCAGCATAAAATTTTACATCTATATAGTTTGCCAATTTTCGTTTTCTCGAACCTTTTTCTAAGTGAAAAATGGTGTTTTTTTAAAAAATTTTTTTTAAAAATTTTTTTTCTCCAAATTTAACCCCATTTTTCACTTAGTAAAAGGTTCGAGAAAACAAAAATCAGCAAACTATATAAATGTAAAATTTTATGCTGAACAACTTTACTTAGAAGATGAAAGCAGACTACATAAGTAAAAAAAAAGTTGTATGTAGAAAAACTGGAATTTTTAATTTTAGTATATAGATAACCTATTTTTCTTACAAGATAACCTACTTCCAACTTCTAAGTAAAGCTGTTCAGAGTATGGTTTTATATATGAGGCCTTTGCAGTAGAAAGGGCCTATACTACCCCAAAAACTAAAATTAAGTTTTTGAAATATTCGAATAAATTTTGATACAGGCTACATTTTTCAATTATAAATGAAAACCTGTTCACATAATAAAAAATCAAGATAAATGACGATTTTAAAAAAAGTTACATGAAATGATCACAGTCTAAAAATAGTAACAGAGAGCATAAAATTGATCAACATCTAAAAATAGCTAGCTAATAAATTTTCTGTCTTGTCTTTATTATAGGTAATAAAAAACCTTCGATATACATACGTACATAAGTTAAAACAAAACCTATAGATCTATTATAAATCCACTCAATATAAGAGAACTATTGATAAAATATCAATATAGAGAAGTTTTGTTATGAACCTGGACGCTTTTCTTATATCAAGTTTTACTTGTAAAACATTAAATCATTTAAAGACAAAAGGGACTATACGTGGTAGATAAAATCTCTGGGCTATTGGCTTAATTACCTGAATTACTACCTTTTTGAGTCTTACATTCTTGTACTAGTTTCTAGTGCTTGGTCTACTTATTATAGATCTCAAACATAAAAACTCAGAGGACGAAATTGTTCTCTAATCTAAAATAAGTACAATTTTTATTGTTTGACTTTTTTTTTCATGATAACTAACTTTCTTTTTCTTATATACTATAAGCTTAGGTTTTATTATAATGCGAATTAGCACTTCTGTTAGAATATAAATTGACATTGATCGATAGAAATTCTATGTGGGCAAGAAATTGAGAACCAAAAATAAGCACTTATCTTCCTTTATCTATTCTTTTATATTTTGGAATACTGGAGCTTGGAACGATTCTTCCTTTTAAGTATGATTTAATAGTAACTCCAAAACTTTTTGCACAAGTTTAAAAGTGCTTGTTTATACTTGTGTTGTTTTTTACTAATATTGTTACTATCCATTATCAATTTCTAGGGCAATTATTTATTGCGATATGAACTTGTAAAAGATAAAGTTGTAGATATATACAGGTATCTAGTATATTTTATAGTAAATAGAATTTTTTGCCAATGGCTTCATTACCTTTTTGAGTTATACATTTTGTACTAATTTTCTAGTATTTAATCTCTTACTATAGATCTCATTCAAACATAAAGATCTCGGGATAAAATCATTTGATTTAGATCTTTAATCTATGATAAGTACAATCTCTCTTCGTTTTTTTTTTTTAGCAATAATTTTCTTTTGTATATTGTATTTTGGATTGCAAATTGACACTAGAGTCTAGAATAATTCTTCCCTTATGTAGGTATGATTTAATGGTGACTTTAAACTTTTCTGTTTAAGTTTATAAGTGCCTGTTTATATTTGGGTTGTTCTTCTTACTAGCTTTATTAATTATTAATTTCTAGAAGCAATTATTTATTGTGGCATGAAACTTGTAAAAGGTGGAGTTATAGATACGTATCTAGTATAATTGATCTTTTTGTTTTCTATTTTTTTTTTATTTATAATATATACTTAATCACTTTTGTCATAAATATTACTAGTGTGAAATCGAATTAAACTATAAGCATATTGAGAACAAGATACGTATTTTATTTGTTATTGTTTTTATTCTATATTTTTAAGTTACTACCAATTCTTTTTCCTAGGAGTTTTGATAATCGTGACAGTAAAAGCAGGTATACTGTCATATCATATTGAAATCTGATGAATGTATTTTATTTGGAATAGTTACTGACTATTTATGAAATTATTATCATAACAGATTAGTATAATAAATGGATGATCAAATTAGAAGTAATACGGGATGTGATTATCATCATAATAATAGATGTGCGATCAAATTATAAGTGCTATATAGAATTCTAATTTGGATAAATTTGTCATCTGTTTATCTATGTCTAATTATCTAGATAATTTAAATTGCAGATAATTATCCAGATAACAACAATAAACAGATATAAAATGAATATCTAAACAAATTTAGATCTGGATATTCGATAGATAAACAGATAATAAATAGGAATTATTATATAGGATAAGATCATCATCATGGCAGATTAGCATAATAGATAGATAATCGAATTAGAAGTAGTGTAATTGATAATTAAATTAGAAGTATTGTATAATAGTATAATATATTTTAAATTTTAAATATTAAATAAATTAGTAATTTAATAAAATTTTATAAAAGAATTGAAAAATTGTTTTTAATCTCATAAAAATTTAATAACTTAATAATAACTTCACCATTTATTTTATTTGATACCATTTTTGATAATACCTATTTAGAATCTTTATAACAACAAATAGAAAAATTTCAAACAATTTATTAATCAAATATTAAAATTATATCTATTAATTATCAAGTTGAACAAGATACCCATAATTTAGAAGAATTTAATGAATTTGATACTTCAAGTAATTCTATTTTAGAAGAATTTACATTAGAAGAATCAATTTTAGATGAGCCTGTTTTAAATAATGAACAAATAAATAAATTTAAAAAAATTTATTCAAAAAATAAAATCGAAAATATTGAAGATAATAATGATTTAATTCAAACTATTAAAGAAAATTTAGATAAAAAAGATAAAGAGACTCAATATAAAAAATTAAAAACTATAATATGTTGTAGAGAAAAATGTCTTCAAAATTCAATTTCTCATGATCATGCTGTTGAAAGTTATCAAAAATTTCAAAATTTAAATAATAATCAAAAAGATATGTTTTTATTAGGAATATTATCTGCAACTACTCAAAATACAACTATTAAAGAAAATCAAAAACGTAATAGGCTTGCCAATATATATATTTTTGAAGAAATAGAAATTTGTAGTGAAGCATTTTTAATAATTTATGGAATTGGAGAAAAATATTGGAAAAATATACGATTACATTTTATAGAACATGGAATTAGTCCAAGAATTTATAAATTAACTGGAAAAATTAGTAATTTTGCTATATTATTTGAAATAATTTTAAAAATAGTTACTTTTATAATTAATTATGCAAATATTCATGGTTTACCTTCCCTAGGTATTTAAATTTAATTTTTTTTATTATTATACTGTATATTAAAATTGTTATATAGTACATCTTATAGCTACTTATTTGCATAGACAATACAAATCTATAACAAATCAAAAAACAAAAATTTTGGATATTTCAAATCTGCTAATATAGAATCTAAACATATGCAAAAAAAACTCAAAAACTAGTATTTAAATTGATTTTGGTAAACTAATAAAAAATAATAGAATAAAATTTTATATATAAGAAACTCTAACTTATTATTGAAGCTTATAATCTTATCTAATTTATTTACAAAATTTATTTTTTTTGATTTATATTATATATGCAAATAAGTAAAATTGGCACACTCTCTATATCTTAAAATTTTATTAGAATAACTTCTTGTACTATTAACAAAAATATTTTTTATACAATTTTATTTTAAACCTTTTTAATCTTAATCTTTATTAGTACTCTAATATTGTATTTAGTAATACAAATTGAAAATTGAAAACCGCAACTAATCAAAAAGTTGACAACTAATTGATTGAACTTTTTAGATATCAACTAATTGATTAATTAATTAATTGACAAATCAATTAGTTGCAACTAATCGACTAAAGAATTAATTAATAAGTTGCAAAGAATCGATTAAAAATTATTTATTTACAGTACTTAATAATTAGTTGCAACTTATCGATTAATCAATTAATCAATTAATCGATTAATCGACCAGTTGAATCTAATTGATTAATCAAAGTTACAACTAATCAATTGGTTGCAACCAACTAAAAAAATAATAATCAACTAATCGATTGAAAAAATTTTACCAATTTGTAATACTAATTGTATTTATTAATAATTAGAGAAATATTAAATAAATACACTATATATATTTTTCTATTATATATAATTTTATATAGTTTTATATAATTAATTAATTACAATTATAATTAATTAGGTCAATATTTTCGTAAAGATACTTTAGCAACAATTTTTTTTCTTTCTAATGAAAGCTATTCATCATTATATCAATTATATAAATCAACAAAAGAAAACCAAAATCAAGATATAATTTATTTAACTACTTTTTGGCGTATTTGGAATAAATATATTCCAGAAATTAAATTTTTTTCTTCTCGAAGTGATTTATATTTTAAATGTAAACAAATGCGATTTAATTCAAAATTTTGGACTAATCAAGAAATTGGGCTTAAAAAGAAAGATAATATTATAGGTATTTATTTTACAGTAAATATTTCTAAATATATAAATTAAATTTTAATTTATTAATTAAACTATATTTTAGAAATTGTATTAAATCATCAAAACTTGCATTACAACAATTTTCTAATTTTTCTTGATCTAATGAACCAAATTCACCAAATTCTTTTAATTTTGAAAATCATATATCATAGGATTTTGCTGAACAAATAAAAATACCATATTCTTCACAACAAGAGGTATAAATTAATTTTTTTAATTATTAGTTATATATATTATATTATATATATTATATTAAATAATTTTTTATAAAGGGAAATATATATTTTAAATCTCCTTATAATATTCAGCTTTTTGGAATTTGTGAAGATGCATTTTCAATTCAAGTAAATAAAATTTATTATTAATTTTTAGAATATGACTAATTTTAACCCCGGGTGATTTTCAATAATTTTAACCCCGGGTGATTTTCAATAATTTTAACCCCGGGTGATTTACAATAATTTTAACCCAGGTGATTTTAAGTAATTTAAATAATTTAAACTACTGATGATTAATAATTTTAACTTGGATATATAAATAAACTTTTCAATTAGATTTTACTTTTTTGTAAAATTTGCTTAATAAATTTTCGCTCAAGGTAATACAATGGAGCCTACTAATAAAACAATTTTACCCTTTTAATATTATCCTTTATACCCGTTGTTTGAAGAAGGTTTGATAGATGAAACTATTCTATATGGCTCAGAGAACAATAATATCAGTTATACCTCTTTTGATTTTAGTAATATGCTGTTCTTTTCTATTTGCCTTGTTATGTCTTTTGGTTCTTCTTTTGTGCCATAATAGAAGGCAGACACCCTTCGTTCAGAGAAGATTGGATAAATAAAACTCATTTATACAGTTCTGAATCCAATAATGTTATATGTTAGTATTGTTATAATTACACTTATTTCATTTGTACTACTTATTGTTATATTTACCTTTACCTCTATTAAGATGAACATCCTTCGTCCACAAATATCTTGACAGATAAAGCTTATCCACTTGGTCTTAAAAACACCAACACCAATGCTTAACCATTTTTTGATTCAGAAAATAAGAACGTTATAGATAGTCATGAAGAAAGTGCGAATATTGATCATGATGATATAAATGATAATACAGAAGATGAGTTAGATGTGTTAAAATTATTTAAGGATAAGCTATTTGATACGTGGGAAATTGCAGAATCTTACCTTGATCAGTATGGAAAACAAGAAGGATTTCCTTACACAAATGCCATCGTGTTGCTGATCCTAAAGATAATAGCATAACACGTTGTCGCACTTATGAATGTTCACATGGACATACACATAAAGCTGATAAGACTATTTTAGCAGAAAATAGAAGAGATAGGAAATTAGAAATGATTAATTGCCCTTGGCATATTAATTTATCCTTTTCTAAAATGGGCAATAGTGTTTGAATAAATTCTATCATTGGTAAACATAACCACCTAATGAATCCACTTATTGCAGAAACTGCACCAAGATTTCGTCATTTAACAAATGAGATGTATGAAAAAATCAAGTTCTGGACAGTTGAAGGGAGATTGGGTGCAACAACGCAGTATAATCTACTTGCTGCATCATTTCTTGAAAAAAAAATTAACAAAAAGGATCTGAGTAATGCTATACAACGTTATAAAAAATAGCTAAAACCTCAAAAGAATAATGTCTGTCAAACATTAGCTAATTTGTATCAGAAAAAAGAGAATGATCTATCATGGTTAGTAAGGCCAAAAATTGACCCTAATGAAAGAAGGTTAACAGCATTATTTTGGATATCTCCCTTTTAAATACACGCTTATGAAAGGTTTCATGATGTTATAGTTATTGATACAACGTCAAAAACAAACCAGTTCGATATGGTTCTATTTATGGTTATAGTCGTTGATAATAATTTCAGAAATTTAATAGTGGCAGTGGCACTTTTGGAGGATGAAACTAAAGCAACATTTGCCTGGATTTTAAATGAATTAAAAATAGCTTGTGATATTACCCCAAAAATTATATACTCAGATTTAGATTCTGCATTGATAGCTGCTATATATAATAACTATTCAGAAACTTGTCTTTTCCATTGCATATTCCATATTGATCTTAATTTGAAAAAAAATCTTAGAAAAAAGGTACATGATCAGTTTGAATTATTTCGGCACAAATTTTTAGCAATGCGAAATACCTTATGTCACAGACAATTTTAAGTTAGATAGGCCAAACTTATTGAGGAATTTCCTGCTTGTGAACAATATTTAACACATACATTATATTCTTGTAAAGAGAGTTGGGCAAGCTATGTAATTAACAGATATTTTACTGGGGGAATCCAAAACACACAAAGAGCAGAAACTTTCAACAGAATTATAAAAGAGAAGCTTAATCGAAATTCACGGTTGGCTGATATCATTGAACAAATCCAACTAACTTTTAATAATCAGTCAAAAAGAGTGTTAGTTAATGAACATAAAAACGAAATACTAACCAGAGGCTTGCTTACAATAATGGAAGAATATATTCCAAAAATAATCAAGCTATTATGAGAATATCTTACCCCGCAAATCTTCTAGAAGCAATGTGACCAGATATCACAATTACTTTGTTATGATGTTTTTTTTGTTGATGATTGGTTTGCATTATTAGAGGTATATAAGAATGATCTAATATTACTGACCTAAAAATAAGACTTTTATTGCTATTAGAATAGATTAGAAGATCAGTTATAACAAAAAAAAAAACTTTTTTTGTAAAGTACAATATAAGTTCATTTTAATTGTTTCATTAAAAAATTGAAATTAGTTATGTATATCTTTTTTTTTTTTTTAGATAATAGATGATTCTTATCAGTCGGATATAGGCAAAAAAGATGACTACGATCAACTTCAGATCTTGTTTTCTTCACTAATTAGTCATGTATCGCATAATAATATTAAAGAAGTATGGAAGGTTGTTAGACATAGAGCACTACAGTCAATACCTCAATATATAATTGTACTTGATGATAGGTCTCATTTATGTACTTGTCTTTGTCTTATCAACCGGGGCATTGTCTGTAGACACTTTTTTAAAATTATGTCTTATTCTCAAAACATATGCTTTCATATTATACTTATTCCACAGCAATGATATAATGATAAAAAGGCTAGTATCAAACAACAAATTCATTAGTTAATTCCAGTATATCAACTTGTTGAAAATAAGTTGAACCAACTTCCACCTCAGCCACTATCGTTTAACTATTTGGAAAATATTAGAGAAACAGTTTATGTTGAATATAAGCAAAGTCCTAAACAGAAGTATGGTTTTGGAATGGGCTATGCTAAAAAAGCTCTTGACTATGCAATTCAAGCAGATACTGTTGACGAATTTGTTAATTATCTGGAAAAGTTTATTGAAAGAACAAAAGCTGAAATAGATGAAGAGAATATTGAAAATGTAATCATTGGTAATCCAATACGTGTAAAGTACAAAGAGCGCCAACCTAAGCGTTATAGATCAGAAGGTGAAGATTTACCAAAAAAAAAGAAACGAAACGTTCAAGAAACAAGTAATGTTGCTGAAAGTTCTACAGGTTCTAGTAATACAAAAGGTGTGAGACATTGCCAAAAATGCAGACAATCAGGTCATTATGCACTGCGCTGTCCAAATTAGTGCAAATAATTGCAAATAATGCTAATTATGCTACATATAGATATGTTACATATGTGTATACATATATAGAAATATAGAATGCATGAAATGGTTTGTAAGATTACTAGTTCGCATTTAGCTATTTATTTAACTTCTATATTATTGTCATAGTGATACGATTATATGAGATTAATGCATATAAGCACACAATGAAACAATGACCGGCATTACTACTTACTTTAATACTAACTTTAATTTTAGTTCAGGCTATTGCTATTTTTATAAGTTGTGCCTATTCAAAGTTTATAAATTGCCATATCAGAGTTTAATACAGTATAGACATAATATAAAGGTCATACTATACTAGTTCTATATTATTAGTATAGTATGGTAAAAATCGATACTATGAACTTCTATTAAGCTAATTAGATTACTTTACTGATAGCTTATTTAGCAGATATTAAGTGTTAATTTATTAGATGTGCGATACTGCTAAATAAGCTATTAGTAAAGTACTTTTTTAATTTTTAAATTGTTTTGGTTTGATTATGTTATACGTATTATATTAAAATTTTATAAATTAATATATTTTATAATTTATTATTATTATTTGATATTATTGGTTAATATAAAATCACGTGACGAGGTGATTTCACCCGGGGCAAGTTAGCAAAATCCTAATTTTTATACTATAAATTGTTTTTTAAAAATTTTTTTTTAGATAAATTATTTAATTAAAGAAGAAAGTATTGGGAAAGGTGCAAATACAATTATATCACTTGTTTATTATTATTTTACACTTCATGGATTAGGTGAAACCAATTTAATTATATATACAGATAATTGTGCTGGACAAAATAAAAATGATTATGTATTTAGTATAGTGAGTTGCATGTGGATTACATACTCAAATTACTTATTCATTTATGGTAGCAGGTCATACAAAATTTAGCCCAGATGGATTTTTTGGTCTTATTAAATTAAAATTATGAAAATTTGAAGTTGATAATCTTGATAATCTAGTAAAAGTAGTTGAAAATTCTACAAATAGAGGATTTAATCGAGCACAAACAATTTATGATAAAGATAAAAACCAAATAGTACATTTTTATAATTGGACAGAATTTTTATCAAAATATTTTAAACCAGTTCCTAATCATTTGAAATATCATCATTTTATATTATATAAAAACAATATAGGTAAAGTAGAAGTAAAAACAGCAATTGATGAAAAAAAAGAAATTATAAATATTATAAAATCAAATAATACTAAAATTACAGGATTTCTACAAGAAATTTTTTCTTCAGGATTATTAGCTTAAAGACAATAGTATTTATATAAACAAATATGTCAACATATTAAAGATCCTCAAAAGCAAGATGAACATTGTTCATTACCAAAAATTCCAAACCCAAAAAAATTAAATTTTTTTTATAAATTAATTAATAAATTTTTTTATTATACTATTAATAAAATTATAATACAATTTAAATATTTATATGCATAATAATATTGCATTACATATTTTGTACAAAAGATAAATTTTTTATACTATACAAGATACTACAATACAAAAACAAACTATACAAAATCAGTCAAATAGCACAAAATTATGTAGCAAAAAATATATTATAAAATAAAGTTTACAAAATCAGCCATATAACAAATAGAATTAGCAATTTATTAACAAAGAAATTATTAACTCATACAAAGATTTCTAAAATTCTGGGTTGGAATACATCAGAACCATGATCAAATGGGCCAAAATTGCTTAAGAAGAATTTTACTAATGAACCTATAATCATTTATTAAGCAAAAGGTGTCTAGCTGATAATTTTACTATAGCTTCCACTAACCAATATAGATAACACTAACCCTAATACATTTTAGCCATACCAACCCAGAATTTTGGGAGTTCTGTAAAAAATGAAATCACAAATTAGCAGTTGATCACAGTGTCATAATATCATAGTAATGACAATAAACAACAACCCTTCACAATATAAGTGCCACAAAGAGAAAACATGTAATAAAAATTACAATTTTCTCTTTGCAGTACTTATGTTCTATATGAAAAGTGGACCAGGTGTTGGCACCAGATAGGTACATATCATGTGGTACATAAAGGCATACACGTGCATTGGTAGCACATATGAGCATGTTTTATTTTATTACTTTATATGCAATTACTAGTGCATTTATCCGTAAGTTTTGGTTTAGTAAAGTGCAGCAAAACCCGGTCCAATTTGGACCAATTCAACATGCCAACATGGATCACAGATATACAAACCCAGATATTTGGTCATTTCACACCTGACTGTGTCTTTCCGAAGAAATATGTGCTTATACAGACCACTTTTTTCATAGAGATATAAGAAAAAAGCTCTATTAAACTCGAAATAACAATTAGAAAAAAATAAAATAAAAAGCAAAAACACAAAGATATAAATACTTATTACATATGGGGCCTTTGCCTTGAAAATGACCTTATGATACATGATATCATAAAGTCATTTTTAAGACAAAGACCCATATCTCTCCAAAACATATCCTAATACTATATTAATAATATCCTTAAAAAGTCTTATATATTCTAGAAAAAAAATAAAAAAACATGATAATGATTGAAATGCATTACTCAAAA